AGGCTGCCTGTACAGGATGCGGCGCGCGTGCGCTCATCTGTTTTACGACGAAAATAATCAAAGTATTTCCCTTTTTGAGTGCACGGGCGGATGGAAATACAGTGCACTTGGCTGGAGTGAAGGGTTGGTCCTTTGCCGACTTAGCCATTTGAGATGAATCGAGGTCACGACTGACAACTGGCAAGTCGCCTTAGTGGAACGAACTCCAAAGGTAGAGCGGACTGCCAAAGTGCTAAAGAATGTTTGTGCATGGTATTGACAGAACCCGGCGCCTGCAACGTCCACTTGCACCAATGCCGCACACGCTTTCAGAAACATACACACACACGCACACACACACACACACACACACACACACACACACACACACACACACACACACACACACACACACACACACACACACACACACATATATATATATATATATATATATATATATATATATATATATATATATATATACATATATATTGACGGGGTCGTCGCAAAGTTGTGTTACACGTTACGGCAAGCTAAGCATCCTCCTACTTACCCAGTGGCAACGCTGGTGAAGCCCCCCCCCCCCCCCCCAACCTCTGGTCACACTGCTGAGTATTTTTCATTATTGCAGAGTGATTTGCAAGCACATCTGAGTATAAAGAACGATGTCCAAAGAAACACCCGCCCCTTTTCACGCTTTGGTAGCGCTCCATAACTGCTCCCTCCCTTTCCATGCGTAACGAGATTTGTGGGCGACAGTCCCTAATGTGAATGGAGATAGAGGCAATATGTCATTTTGCGTCTTGGGATTCGTAGAATGTGGTCTATAGGTATCATGAATCAGACATTGGTTTTCTTTTTAGGGGGAGGCAGGCGTTCCCGGGGTAGGGAATGTTGTAGAAATGTTAAGTGCTGTGGCGTGGGCTTATGTTTGTTCAACACAAACGAACATATTCAAAACGACTCAAAACACCTTTTGCAGCGGCTTTACGAAGCTAACATCGAGGCAAAACTGTACACATTTGGTGCGCTTCGTGTGCTTTCGAAAATATAGGATGGAAACAGGGAGATGCAGAATGTCGCTCAGACTTTCATACAGAAGTTGTCATTGCATCAGATGAGGTGAAGCTCTCTTCGCACTCAGTGGACTGCAGTCCAAACAAGAAAGCATTCAACGTAAAGTTTCGAAGCAAGTCTCCCCCCCCCTTAAAAAAGACGCATTTCCCCATTCAGTTAGGGTATCCAGTCTCCCGGCGTTGAGGAGAAAGCGGATAAAATCCGGGAAGAAAGTCGTTTCTGGAACTTTTTTGGGAAGGGTTTGCCATTTTCATTGCTTAGCTCCCAACTTTTGTTGAGAAAGTACGCCCGAAAGTGTTGAAAACCAAGGACTGCATAAAACTGAAACTGTTTTTCTTTTAAATACACGAATTCAAAGTAAGAAAGGCTATTGTGGTAGAGAACAAAGCAACATGATGAGTAAGATATGTTCCGTACGCGATAATCGCAACCAGCGCTCTAAAATGCGTTTGTCGTCCAAGAAACGGTGTCATTCATTGCTTGTTATTAATAAGGACATTACACTTCCCCGGAAAACGAAACAAACAGGCTCAACGCGGAAGATGAGTCGGTTTCGGACGAAAAAAGATGTGAAAATCGGGCATGTTCATCAATTTCTGCAAAGGCAAAATGGAGTTCCTGCAAAGGCAAAGCATCTATTCACTAGAGCTCGAGAGTCTACAACGCGGTCGTTGCTGCATATCGAGCGCGCACGTGGCGGAAGTCCATACGACAGATCACGGGCTAGTGGCTCAGCGTAGGCAAGTCCGATGCTTCGGCTGCGACATAGCTGTGGGACGTTGAAAATCACTCGCCTTGCCACCGAACTCAATTTGCTAACTACGGCCCGGTGGTCACGAGTGCGGCTACTGTATCGTTTCGTGGCCCTCACCAGGCGCTGTGCGGCGCCTCATGACCCCCGTGGGCCTGAGGGAGACCCTGTGTGAAACTTCGGGGTCATCGGCGACCTGAGGAGACCCTGTGCGACATTTCACGGTCCTCGGGGGCCTGAGAGAGGCCCTGCGCGGCGCCGCGGGACTCCCAGGGGCCTGAGGGAGGCCCAGCACGTTACTTCGCGGTCTTCGGGCCCTGATAGAGGCCCTGTGCGACATTTCGCGGTCATCGGGTCCTGAGAGAGGCCCTGTGCGACATTTCGCGGTCTTTGGGCCCTGAAAGAGGCCCTGCGCGACATTTCGCGGTCCTCGGGCCCTGAAAGAGGCCCCGCGCGACATTTCGCGGTCCTCGGGGACCTGAGAGAGACTCTGCGCGGCGCCGCGGGACTCCCAGGGGCCTAAGGGAGGCCCAGTACGTTACTTCGCAGCCCTCGGGGGCCCGAGAGAGGCCTTGCACGAGGCAGCTCCGCCTTCACCACCACACCCGAGAAACGCCAGCAGCTGTCAGTCATCAGCTGTCGGCCGAAAGAGCATTGCAACCGGGGAGCCAGCGCTGAGTCATCGGGGTGGGCTATCCCACGGCTCAGACAAGAGCGCCAACATGGCAGGTTTGTTTGTAGCGTTTGGCACCATTTGTTCTTTCATCATTCCCTTAGAGCAACGATAAAAATAGGAGTAGGGCATTCTGAAGCTGGAAAATCGTATGTTTATTCCTAACGGCCTAGGAGTGGGTGGCAAGGTACCCAGGCTCCTATACTTTTATGAAAGAGCATTGTCCCTTCGATGCCGCGTCAAAAATATTGCGTTAAAGAGCGGCTAGCGGAAAGTGGTCAGAAATTGTCAAATATTGTTTCAAAATGAGCTCAGCGGAAAACGCCAGTGGGTTGTATGTTGCTATGTCAATAATTGACTTCCTTATGCCAGATTAAAGGTCAATTTCTCTGGTAAATATAATCTTTCCGTGCATGCCTATCTGAGCAAGATCTTGCATTGTAGCGATGTAAAACCTAACGAGGTGTGTTCTTCCGTTCAATTTGAGGTACATTGGTGTGCATTTTTATGCGGTTTATGGTTTCTGATTTTGTATACGGTTTATGATTTAGCCGCCACTGTGGTCTAGGGGAAAGATGCTGGACTCGTATTTCAGCGGCACTGGGTACGAATCCCAGAGCGGGCGCATCGTTTGGCCCGACTGAAATGAAAAAGGTCAGTGGCAGCTGGCCAACAAGGGTCAACCCAGGCCCGGGGCGACCGTGTCGCAGCATTGTTCGGCACGTAAAGCCCTCCGCATTCCTGTCTGGCGAAAAGATGTAGGCAAAATTATCCGTTGAACTGGGCGGTGCGACTTGGGTGGTGGGTTCAGGGTACGCGCAACAAGCTATGCTTAGCAGGTACTATGACCCCAGTCACCCATGCAAACCACTCGGATTTTTAATTAAAAAAGTGTTTTTAGCGCGTATGTATAATGTATGGCTTCGTTAATGTGTGTTTGTTCATTTGTTTATTTAGGATATGAGCATTCCATAGGCAAAAGCCCAACTACGCAAGCGGTCGAGTTTTAAAAACAGTAAATACACGATACACAAACAAGCAAAAAACCTAGCCAAAAACACACACACACACACACACACACACACACACACACACACACACACACACACACACACACACACACACACACACACACACACACACACACACACACACACACACACACACACACACACACACACACACACACACACACACACACACACACGCACACACACACACACACACCTACGCATTATACACAGTCGCACATCAAGTCATCAAGAGAATGCTCCACGTGTGCCGACGAACCTAAACAAACCAGATTGGAATGATTTTGTTGGATGAAAAAAGTCAGTTCATGGAGAATGCTTTAAAAAGTGATCGCAGACAACGGGTATCCGTGCGACAAATCCATTTTTAATGATGTTGACCCAGGCAAATGGCTGGTAGAAAAGGCCGATATGCCGAGAACGCCGGACGGGTGTAGCCAGACTGAACAGTGACGTCAAGAGAGCGCAGTCAGCCCTGTGATGATATGCGTTGCATAGAAATAAGATGGCAGACTGAGCAAAGCGTGCCTTGATAGATGCTGTTTTGAAGAAAGCGAGATCCTCATAATCCGGTGGAAGACACCGGGACTGGCTACCCAAACCCAACCATATGAGAAATCGGGCTTGCAGTATTTGGAACCGGGAGAGATGGGAAGCGGTAGCACCGCTCCAAATACACTACCGTGCTCTATCAATGATCTCACATGAGCGTTGAAAGCACAAGGCAAAGCCTTGTGATTCAACTGCGCTTGACGAGGGCACGATGGCATTTGCACGCTTCGCATGAGAAAACCCAGCATCCTGTTTACTTTTGAGGCAGTTGAATCGATGTGATTGGCAAAGGTGAGTTTGCTGTCCAGAAAGACGCCAAGATCGCGAATCTCCTGGCAGCTTGCCAAGCGGCGACCGTCTGGTGCGTTTGAGTAGTGAACAGGGTTCAGGGAGCAGGGAACAGGGAAAGCTGGGTTCGATTTCAGCCCCCAGGTTTTGGACCATTCACAGAGGCGATCCAAATCCGCCTGAAGTGTAAGACAATTTGCTACGTTGTAACATTGTCGGCCCGTCACACGCGTTCCGGGGCATCATCGGTCGCCGCCACTCGCTTGCTCGGGCCGTAGATCGCCGTGCAGTGTTCCTCAAAAGCCGCCGCTGCTCCGAAACCAGAAATACTATGCACACGTTTTTGGTGCCAAAACACGCTCATTGAATGTTCCATAGGCTGCTAAAAATTTGGGGGTGATTGCACAACACGCCGGAGAGGTACCCTCAGAAAACCGTAGGGGGGTTGCATCGCCCCCCCCCCTCCGCCCCCCCCCCTAACAGGGCGAGGGTTGAGTCCGTGACTACCGGGCTCCCTGGCCCGGGTCGGCCAGGGCTGCCTGCCGCCGGACCGCCGGCGGAGACGCCGCCCCGCGCGCCACCTATCGGCCCCGCCGGCCAGCTGCCGCCCGTCAGCCGGCTCGGCGGCGGCGTCGCGGCAACATGTTTATTTGTTTGTCCCGCCGGCTTCGACAGACTTGCACTCCATTACGGCCTCGTTGGCAGCGGGCGCGGGCTGCCTGCCACGATTAGCTGTCACCGCGGGGGCGGACGAGGCCGGCCTCGATCATGGTACAGGGGTGACTTCACACCTTTCTCCGGCGTCTGACGCCACCATACATACATCATCCTGCTGGGGGCACTGGCCGGAGGTGAAGTGCAGTAGGCATCATTAGCAGTTGGCATTTCTGAGTTTTTGACTGTTAAGATGTTGGCGTCGCTAATGATTATCCTCGGAGGTTCAATACCGTACCTAAGTTCAAGTCTGATGCGCTTTTGAAAAACGATGACACGAATGACTTTGTGTGTGTGTGTGTGTGTGTGTGTGTGCGTGTGTGTGTGTGTGTGTGTGTGTGTGTGTGTGTGTGTGTGTGTGTGTGTGTGTGTGTGTATGTGTGTGTGTTTGTGTGTGTGTGTGTGTGTGCGTGTGTGCGGTTCAGTGCAAGAACCAAGGTGAGCTGAGGTGACGGCGAGACAACGCAAAGCTCGAACTTCGGACACAGTTCCCGCACTGACGATGGGAGCCCGTTGAAGTTAGTCGCGTCAGAAGCTCTTGTGTCAGAAATTTTGTCACGCAACAGCTTATGCGCTGGAAATTCTTGCATTAGAAGTAATGTGGTGTACAAGTGCTTGCAGAGGAGTTTGGTCACGAACAAGTTTTTGCGTTAGAAGTAATGTCGTGCGGCAATTTCTGCGTCAGAAGTTTTATCGCGTAGAAATAGTGCGCGCATAATTTTTTGCATTAAAAGTTTTGCCTCGCAGAAGTTTGTTCGTTGAAAGCACATGCATTAAAATTATGTGTAGCAGTTTTAGCGTTAAAGGTTTTGTCGCGCTGAAGTCATGTCGCGTAGAAGTTTAAGAGTTAGATACTTTGTCGCGTAGAAGTAATTTCGAGAAGTATCTACGTTAGAAGTCGTGTCGGGACAATTTCGTTGTTAGTAGTAATTGCATCAGAAGTTCTGCCGAAGAACGCTTCAAACAAAATGGAAATCTCACCTCAGTTAGAATCCCTAGTTTGTGTTCTGTCTCGCTCACCTCAACAGAACAAGCGGCAGAAATGAAACTCCCTGCCCCTGCAAGATAAATGCATGACTTAAAAAATAGACGCTTAATTGGCTTTCATTACTGAGCGAGTGAGTGAGTGAAAGCTGATATCTAATATTAGTTAGCAATCACATTTTGTGGAATGTTCTACTTATTGACATGCTTGCATCAATTAGCTTGAGCACCCTTGAATTACCCATAATTAAAACCAATAAATCTGTAGGACTAAAGCTTCTGTCGTAGGATTGTTGTAGTGGGAATTGTAATCTTGGCATCGATTGAGATGAAATTTGTTTTCAATCCACTCGATCCATACGGCATGATAAATTCTCAAATCCCGTCCAGTCCTAATCCGTGACTTGCCTGCGTGTTCTGGCCCAATTCAATCCGCCGCAGTGGGCCACTCGCCATCCACGCCGTACCCGACACTTCACTCCACACTGGGGAGAGCCAGCCACGCAGCGGAACCGAGCTGCGTCTGCCAGCCCGCCACGCACGCAGTGCGCACGCTGCACGAGCGAGGGTGAGCTGCGTGTCGGGTGAGCGTGGGTGAGCTGTGTGCCGGGTGAGCGTGGGTGAGCTGCGTGCCGGGTGAGCGTGGGTGTCGCTGACCCGGTCGGATTATGTGCTCCGAGCCATCCGCGCAAATGTCTTTGTTGCGTGTTCTGGAATTGAAAGTCCACAGTCCGCCGAGTAAGCCAATTTAAGCAAGTGGCTATGGAAGGTTGGGGTGAATAATTTGTGCCCATGTGACGTTTTCATTCGTAACGAGTGTGTAGCCTGCGTCAGTACGGCAATCGCAGCAGGTCACGACAGGCTGCTTTCAGTGGTCACGGTCTGCTAGCGCCGCGTTTTGTGCCCATGTATAATACGATTAAATTTCGCATATGTATGAGCATATATAGCTGTTGATCGCTTTACAACGCGCCACCTGTTCTCGTCTAATCAGCGTGGTTTTAGGTGAAGTCACTTAGCTGACGCTGCACTGCTCTCTGTTAATGACAATGTTTTTACTGTCATGAACTAGGCCAAAGTCACCCTGCTCTGTCTGCTGGATTTGCCCAAATGTTTCGATGTTCGTTTCCGCATGACCAGCTTCTCCGCCAGCTTTGGCTTTCTGGTGTAGACAAATGCTGGTTAAAAGCTGCTTGACAGGCCATCATCAGCAAGCCCGGGTCCAGACGTCGTCTGGCGAGTATGTGACTTCTCAGTCGCTTCTGACCCCTATCGATACCTTCCAGAGGTTTCTTTCTGTCAAGGGTACTCTATCGGTACTTTCTCTGTGACCCTTGCTGTACTTGACTTGTCCATCTATACTGACGGCGCAGACACTGTTTAATATGCGGACGACACTCAGGTTCTTGCGTCTGGCAGGCCCGACGACATATGCTCCCTCGCTATCTCCATATAATAAAATATTTCGCATCTCTTTCGGTGAGCTTTCAAACACGGGATAAACATCAACGCACAGAAAGGCTGCTCAAAGTTCCTGGGTCTCGTCAAAACATTCACTGGGTTCCCGCAACGAGCACTGGATTTATCGGAGCCACTGTCGCTGGCTGTCCCACTGTGAGGAGCCTGGCTGTCGTGTTTGACCAGCAGGTGACATTCTCGGCGCACACCGACGACGTTGCGCGGCGATGCATAGGCATGTTCCGCGGCCTCAGTCATAGCAGACATAGTCCCCCACAGTTAACTATGGTCGCGCTGGTAGAAGAGCTCGTGGCATCACTGATTCGATTCTGTATCGACCTTCACAGATCCTGCAACATTACTCAATTGGGCCGACTGCAGAAGCTTTTAAACGTCGTAGCCAGAGTTGTTTCCGGACGGACGAAATATGACCATGTCAGAAATGTCCTTCGAGAGCCCAAGTGGCTTTCAGTGAAGAACATGTACTTGCACCGCCGCCGCACCTTTCTCATAAAACTGACTGCATCTGACCCCGAGCCATTCGCTCGTAACCTTGTGACCCGTCGTCACATTCACCCCCGTAACACTTAACATTGTGATCGGCTCGCGACTGCTGCGATACGTTCCGTGCCTGGAAAGTGGAGGCTTAATCAAACGATCGCGACAGCACTGCATGCTCTTCCAACAGCTATTCGTCAAGGGACCTGTCGCGTCTTTTAGGTTCGGAACAACATGACATGAAGACAGCTAGGTGCCGATTAGGTGATAGACGAATCCCACTACGTTATTAACATTACCATGCATGACCGAGTGTATGCTCTGGGTTGTTTGTGAACGTTGTCCACTTAACGTGCACAAACAAAACGTGCACAGACATAAGTACAAATACAAAGGCAATCAAATGCCCCTTAATTGTATGCACCATTCATAAGTGATGCATTCCAGAGATCTAAAAGAGATTTGTGTGATTAGGAAACGTCCAGACTTGCAGTCGTTTCGGATTGTTTGCAACGGCTATGCTTACCCAATTTGCGGCCACAACGGACCACTCCGTCTGAAATTGTGAGGTGGTGTATCGTTTTCAGCACATGCATAACATATCCATGGTTAATCTTACAAGTTTACACGGCAAATCTGTGTGTTGCGTTGCAGCCAAATTTTTTACATGAATGTTACTACGCAGCCGGCTGTGTTATTCGCTTAGTGACGGCTAAACCGACCTGATCCAGCAGCGTTAATGGCCGCTTGGGCAGTGTTTTGGTCGCCTTGGACCGCTGTTTCTTCGACTTCCCCAAACATATGTTGTTTGCCGCGGCAGTGTCGGTTCGACGCGGCCGAGCGCGGTCGTCACAGATCCGTCACAGATCCGTCACGGGTCCGTCACAGGTGCGCCACGCTGTGGCTGTCGACCGTCATCGAAATGGAGGCGAAGGGGAGGGAAGTTTCTGACAGGTAAATGTGTTATGCTGGGGTTGAGTGACGGCAGGGCCTGGATGGCGATACGCGGGCGTAAATATGCCGTGAGGGGGAGGGCGGGAGAGAGAGGGAAAAAAGAGAGAGAGAGAGAGAGAGAGAGAGAGGGAGAGAGAGAGAGAGAGAAAGGGAGAAAGAGAGAGAGAGAAAAAAGGGAGAAAGTGGGAGAGAGGGAGAGAGAGGAAAAGCGAGGGAGAGAGAGGGAGAGGGAGAGAGAGGGGGAAAAGGGAGAGAGAGAGGGAGAGAGAGAGGTGGAGAGAGAGGGAGAGGGAGGGAAAGAGACAGAGAAGAGAGAGGGGGGGGGGGGGCAGCGAGAGGCAGAGAGCATACGCCCGACCAAAACGGCTCGTTCGGTGCCAACCGTGGTGTCGATTGCTGCTGAAACGAGGGACGAGGGCAATTAGGCGCAGCGCCAGGGCGCGAGGCGGGCGACTGCGGGACCTCTCCCGGAACAGCCAGAAACAGCTGCGTAACGAAGGGTGGAAGGCGGAAGTCAGTGCATGGACTTACACATGTCAGACGGCAGCCAGCGACACGTTTTTACCACTGGTTACACTTGGAGCTACATTAAGTGTTGAGCTCGCTAGTAGCTTCACCCACTGATCAAAGCAACCGTCTCAAACAATATATCCATCTGGTAAGTTTCAACTGAGAATTGTTTGCTGTCATAACAGTGAAAACGTGTTGCTGCCATGCCAGGGAAATAGTTTTAACCAAAACTATTCAGGACCACGGCAAGATAAATGAGGTCAAAATAACCGGTCACAAAATTGTGCGTAAACGACTGCAGCGGACACCAAAACTTCATTTCATCAGTCCCGTTGACATTAGGTTAGATCGGCTAACGGTATGGAGCGTTGCGAAATGTTCTCCTGTTGCATTGTGTGATGCGGTACGCGCTTTCAGTAGCATTCTCGTAATGGTCTTTAAAAACGGATCTTTGACTGTGCTTAGGGGACCATAGACATTAATCTTCTATTCCTGTTGATTAGGGTAAAAACGCGACCATACGCATTTATTCGTGTTCAATTAGTTATCGCTGACGGACAGCAAGACGTTATGTTTCTGAGAACGTATCGATAGGTTGCGT